TCCATGACAAGCAAGAAAACCCATTAGTTTCATTGTCACGAAATTTGTGACAAGCAAAACCCCATTTAAATACACATGTTCATGTGTTCATGTATTTAAATTATATTTTTAACAGCTCAAATGTTCAATGCATGTACATGTAATTTATACTGTCCCTCCCTCTTCCTCCCTATTGTTAGTACATGAGTCTGAATTGAGTCACCAGCTTCAACACTTAGCGGAACAAGTTGACACTTTCTCTCAAGCTCATCGTATCAAAAACTCAAACAGGAAAAGAAATTCGCTAATCAAGGCTTTCTGTGAATTTTACTATCACCTCTCTCTCCTTCAAAACTTTCAAGTAACTACTTTAGTAACGTACATGAAAAGTACCCAAGGCTATCATAGCCCATGGTTTTTTCCAAAAAATGGCTCCGAAATCACCCCCAATTTTTATTACATTTTCTGATACATATTGATGTACTTATGCTGCATAGCAAGTTTGAACTAATTCTGACTTCAATTTTTCAAGTTACAGCAATTTTAAGAAATGAGCCAAAATCTGAAAAGTACCCAAGGCTATAGCCCATGGTTTTTTCCAAAAAATGGCTCCAAAATCACCCCCAATTTTTATTACATTTTCTGATGCATATTGATGTACTTATGCTATGTAGAAAGTTTGAGCTGATTCCGACTTCAATTTTTCAAGTTACAGCAATTTTAAGAAATGAGCCAAAATCTGAAAGTACCCAAGGCTATATATAGCCCATGGTTTTTTCCAAAAAATGGCTCCAAAATCACCCCCAATTTTTATTACATTTTCTGATACATATTGATGTACTTATGCTGCATAGCAAGTTTGAACTAATTCTGACTTCAATTTTTCAAGTTATGGCCATTTAAACATGTACAACATTATGATTCTATTCTTAAATTTTCTTATTTTTATTTCAGAAACTGAATCACACTGGCTTCAGAAAGATACTTAAGAAACACGACAAAGTTAATATTTACACATACTAAACTACATGTATGTACATGTACTTATACATGTATATATTATTTATTTATTTATTGATGCATGTAGCTTGCAAGTTCAGATCGTGGCAGCAATTTTTCAAAGAAAATGTCGGGAAATCGTATTTTCACAAATCAAAAGAAATCAACACCCTCATTCGAAGAACTGAAGTATGAAGAAACAATAAATTTACTATTTAAATATTTTCTATGTTTATCCTTTCCCCTCTTTTCACAGGACATTATGATAAATCAACTGGAGAATGGTAACCGCGGTCGAGCCATGGCTAAGCTCCGTGTCCCCCCACTGGGTGGAGTCTCTTCACCGTGGGCTATACTGGCCAGTGGGTGGCTAATGGGAGCCATTTTTATAATGGCAGTAGTCGCCATTATAGCTTGTAAGACTAAAAATACATGTACATGTATTTTATTATTATTACATGTACATGTACACAGGTGTATATCGGAACCGTAGTCCTTTACCATGGTCCCCTGACACTGGCGTGTTACTGGGTCTTCGGTCTGGTTTCGTTCTTTCGGTTTGGTTCTTCTCTTTTGCCGTTAATACTTACTTCTGGAGGTACTTTGGCA